TCTTCTAATCGTTTATTCGCCATTTCTATTTAGTTTTTCAAATTCCGATATTTTTAATACAGTGTTATTATGACACACAAATTTCGAATTTAAGTTATCACTTTTGATGAGCTCAGTACGGGACGATTCCTAAGTTTCCGATTTTTTAACGCTTACAATTGTATTTCTTCTTATAATTTTTGATATGTTATTATAATACGCGAGTAAATAACTAATGAATAAACACTTTATGACACTCTTGATTTGAGACAATTTATTCCACCGTAAGCCCCTTTTTCTTTCCTTTCTTTTTGCTGCTATCCATCGTTTTTCATCCATTCACACAGGCTTTCTAATACTTTGATGTTTTTAATATGGTGTCATTATGATTCGAGAATTTTGAATTTGAGTTATTACCTTTCGATACACTCGATTAGTGACGATTTCATCGTAAATCAATGTTATTTTCTGATCTGATTACCTGCTTCTGTGAAATTTGACATTTTTAAAGTTCTAATAAGAGAGACAAAAAAAAAAANGAGAGGGGAGAAAAAACTAAGCGTATCACAGTAAAGTTATGGTGAAAATGAATTTAATTGTACTAATTTGAAAAAAAAAAAAAACTAGAAATGTTGATAAGAAAAAAATTGCTAAATAATTATATGCAAAATGTCTAAGCCGTAAAAATCCTATCAGCGAATCAAAATTACTTACAGTAAATTGTTTAGTTATCTCACTGTATAACTCAAACTGATCCAATATAATAAGAACTGAATAGAGTATCCCAATTTGAAAATGAATTTTTGGCTAGAAAGAAGTGGCTTGACAACGCATACGAGGTCGATCGGTCAAAAATGTACCTATAAGTTAAACTCATAGCTTTTTTATGTAAACCTTTTAAAATCCTAGTTTAGTGTTACTTACATACAATCGTTTAATATGAAAATTCAGACATACATAAGATTGAATTTTTTTTTGTGTGTAATTAATTTTTCTTTTTGGTAAAGTTGTAGGAGTAATGAGCAAGGGGTGATAGCGACACAATATTGAAAAACCCTGAAAATTTTATGTGCAAAACATAATCTTCATATTTTATATAATTTTTTGAACTAAGATTTACAATTAAACTACCTACCAATAAAGAATATTTCACTTTTATAGTAATTAATTTAAGAAAAAACTTGGTTAAGTTCTTAAAGAATCGCGATATTGGATTTTAAAATCACTTGAAAATGAATCACGACATTGGATTTTAAGAACACGAAATTACAAATCACGATATTGGGTTTTAAAACCGCGCGAATATGAATCGCGATATTAGATTTTCGAATGCGACTATACAAATCGCAATATTGGATTTTTGAATCGCGATGCATGATTTTTAGATGCAGTGAATACGAATAGCTACGCTGAATTTAAAACTTGGGTGAATATGAATTGCGATGCACGATTTTTAAATAATATGAATACGATTCCAATGAATAACTTTTAAATTAGGTAAATACGAAAATCGATGTTAGATGTTAAAATCGCGTGAATATGAATCGCGATATTTTCAAACATTAAAAACACTGAAAATGCGACAAACCAAAAAAAAAAAAAAAANGTGAAAATGCGACAAACCAAAAAAAAAAAAAAATCACATGTATGAAAACGTCTCGTTAACGCGATTTAGCAAAGATTTCAAAATTTAAATTGTAGATCTTAATTCTTACTTTAAATTTTAAATTGAGGTGAAAATTTCGTCGTATTAAAAGTTTTGATTCGCGGAAGTCCGCAAATCAATAGATTTGAAATACGTGGAATTCCGCGAAAAAAAATCACATACCCTGCTCCTAGTTTCTAAACCTGGAGGGATGATACGAAAAACCCGGAATACAATCATCCTTGATATAAAAATATTCAGAATGTTCAAATTGAATATAATCGGCAAAAATGAAGTAATTAATATATTTAAAATAGGAAAAAAAAAAGGAGTAAGTGAAGTATAAAATATCACTAACGAGAAATGCAGATTGAAAAACATTAAAACAGATTTCATTAGCAACTTGGAACTTTTTATCAGTTGTTTTTTTTATCTCTTCACAATTGCAATCAAACAAGTTTTGATATTTTCAGACCATCATTCTTAACTTACTATTTTGAGAAACCTATTGTATAGAAATTTTCAATGGAAATACATGTTACAGGTTTTCAAACACACAATTTGAAAAAAAAAAAAAAAGCTTATGATTTTATGGATTACAACTTTTGAGAATCAACAATGTGAGAAACAAAAATTAATTTATTTTAGAATTCTGTTTTGAAAATAATTTTTATTTAAGATTCTGTTATTTTTTCATTTTGCGAAATTTTATTTAAACTTCAGATGGTGATGCTTAGTAGGATACACGGTTAATTAACAAAATCAATTTCCATTAATTTTCTGATGAATTTTAAATTTTACCCATTTTTTTTATGACAGAGTGTTTTGGTAGTTATTGCTACATATTTCATATTGTTTATAAAATTTGTTGTTGTTAATTTACGTCGCACTAGAGCTGCACAATGGGCTATTGGCGACGGTCTGGGAAACATCCCGGAGGATGATCCGAAGACATGCCATCACAATTTTGATCCTCTGCGGAGGGGATGGCACCCCCGCTTCGGTAGCCCGACGACCTTTAAAATTTGAAGTATTTAATATGACTTTATAGTGAACCGCGAATTTCGAATAACTTATTTGAGTAAACACATTTTATTTTGACCCATTCGATTACCGATTCCATCTGGTTTGACAGCCATTGTTACAGATTTCTACATGGTTTTTAAAATATCGATATTTTAATACGCCACAAAAACGTACCCAAACATGTGATTGCTGGAAGAAATTATCTGAAATTTATTTTAATGAATAGTTTTTTTTAGTACTTAATCTTTTTTTTTTTTTACTTAAATGACAAATAAAATAAAATCTTTACAACTTCGAGAGTCGCCATCGTATGAAAAAAAGGGGGATTTTGAAAACTGTGAAATCCTTGGAAATAACTGAGAAAAGATTGATTTGCACTAATCGGACGCATTAAAAAGAAGTTAATTAATTGTATGTTTCAAAATTCACGCGTTGTAATAAATAATATCTAAATATATCGTATTAAAAATAGCGAGAAAAAGTATATGCATACAAAAAATATGCAAAAATCAATAGTGATAACTGTTGCAAAAAGTGAAACAATAGAATTATCGGCCAAACAGTGAATACGTAGTTGCGTGATTAAAAATTCTCTTATCATAATATTATCGCGATTTTAAAAAATCATGCAAAAACCAACTGCAAAAAAAAAAAGATTGAAACTCTGGATTTATCGCAAATAGCGCTTGTCAAAGAGTACTTGCTCCGTAATTATGAGATTTGAATTTCTCGTTTCTGAACAATATCGTATGAAAATTTCGGGATTTAAGAAACCACGTGGAAATCAGTAGCAGTAGTGAAAAAGTCTATCGAAAAAAAAAAAACAGTTTTATCGGGGCGTCAAAAAAATGACTAATGAATGCAGTAATCGAATTTTGCATGTTGTAATAATCATGTTAATGTATAAAAAATATAAGGATTTTAGAAAAACTAGAGAAAATTTGTAGTAATAATTGACGAAAAACGAGAGAAACAATGATTTACGATGGTATCGAGCGATGGTCATCACCTAAAAAGTGCAATTCAAATTTTGAGTGTCGTAGGAATATCGAAATCTTAAAAATTAGGCGAAAAACAATTGCATTAACTGTAAAAGAAAAAAAATGATCAAAATACGATAATATCGAGAGCGTTGAAAGTGATTACTGATTCGAAATTTCCATGTCGTAATATCATATTAAAAAATTAATTCGATCTAATTGTAGCCAATTAAAAAAGCAGGCAAATACATCACATTGATTAAATAATTCTTCCGTAACAAATCGGATTTGCAATAAAATTGCTACTCAAAACTTTTTTTTTTTTTTAAAAAAAAGAAAGAAAAAACACTTTTTTTCTCTATCATTTCGGAATTACTTTTTAGATTATCAATTTTATACTTTCGTATTTGCCTCAAATAATTAATTAATTCTAGCCGAAGTTAATTATGGATTTTTTTCCTTTCAATCTTGTGTTTTCGGAGTTATTCCGAAGTTTAAACATTTCTCGACCCACTTGATTAGCAACGATTCCAGAGCGAATCCGCGTGGTTTTGGTTGATGACCTTTCTACTTTCTCTATTTTTGTTCTACAAAGCATAAATTGATGGAAATAGTTAGCACAGACAGCTTCAATTGGTAAAATGTTGAGTTCTTTATAGAATAGCCGTAGATTGGTTCCAACGAGGGTCTGTTTTTCTCGAGGAGCAGACATATGGAATCTACTGTAGGTGAATTATACTTCACATGTGGCAGATTGCGCATTTTAAGCTCCAACGAGTGGATTTTTCTGCCGGCGTGAGTTCTAACATTTATTGGGTATGGAAAAATTACACACATAATGTAAATAATGGTGAAATTATTATTTGACTTATTTGTAAACTTTGACCCTAAAAAACGCAAAGTTGATTTGGAGTGCCATGCGTTCAATGATAAATGGACTTGGACAGATCTTCTTTGTCATATGAACAACTAGAATCGTTCTTCGTTTGAACAACTAGAATCATTAGCCTCGTTCCTTAAAATAAGCACACTTTACTTGGAACCAATATAAAGAAATGAAATAGCAGTTTCATTAATCTTATCAAATATCTAAATTAAAACGTATATCGCATTTTTTAAAAGAAGATTTAACTTGCCCCACCAAACTGTTTTTTCTCTAGGTTTGGTCCTCGGTCCTGTTATAAAAGAAATAGGATAAAAATTAAATTAAAATTGGAAGACAGGGAAAAATCATAAAAAAGCGAAAAAGTTGGGAATTTTTATATTTGAAGTTAAGAGCAGTGACTACAGAACATCCTCTATTTATATTTAATTTATAGATTCCAGACCAGGAAAAATTTCAAACTGATAAATAAATGATTACACTAAGATGTTGTGGATGATGATATATTCAGATAAAATTTACATGAGTACAGACATCAATAATGACAAAATCCACATTAAAATCCAGGTATGACACGACCTTTCTTCTTTGCACGTTTTATCTTAGAATCTAGTTTAGCCTTTTTTCTCTTTTCAATATTTTTGGTCCTCTTCTCTTGACGAGCTTGCTTTTTGCCTTCTACCTGCTCCTTTCTTTCCTTCCATACTTTGGCTTTCTTCTGTTTAATCTTTTCAGTTTTTTTGATGGTCTTCTTTAACAGTGAAGGGTCATCTTTAACTTTTACATTTTCAGCTTTTAGAATGGCCTTCTTCCATTTCTCCTTTTCTTCTAAATTAACTGCTAGTTCAGGGTTTGTTTCTTTTAAACTTTTAATCTTTTCTTTTTTTGCCTCAGCCTTCTTCAGGAGCTTTTTATAATTTTTTCCAGAAAATTCACTTTTTTTGTTGTCCACTTCACCATTTTCCGTGAAGTCTAGTTTGCTGTAGATTATTTTACCTTCTTTGTTATAAACAGGTTTTGGATTTTTCTCTTCAGCTTGTTTTGGAGTAGGTTTGTGAGGGTTTAGTACTTGCTTTTCTTTTTTAACTTTGTTAGCCTTCTGTTTTATCTTCTTTAGTTTTGTCAGAAGCTTTCTACTCGTTTCTGAATTAGAATGACCAAGACTTTTACGTTTGTCTGAAAAAAAAATCTTTATTAGCTATACTAATGATATATATATCTTGTATTTAATACAAAATCTACCTATGACAGAATAGCAGTAATTCAGCATGTAAATTTAAAATAAATAAAATAAGAAATTAAAGAAATAATGAGGTTGCGTTAATTACTTTCTTGATTATTACAGGACATTGATGGAAGTAATTTTGCTTTCATACAATACTTTCTATAAAATTCAATTTGGTTGTCTTTGCCATATAGGACCATTTTTAGCCACACAATTGTTTTTCCAAAAATTGCATTAATCCACACACAAAAGAACATTATTATTACAGTTTGAAAATTTCATTTGTTTTTCTGAAATTTCGCAAATAATGAATTAAAAAAAAAAAAAGACAATTTAAAGATCAATTTATTTGATTTGAAATTTTCACAATAAAATATCCAGGAAAATAAATGGTTACAATGCTGTTAAATTGAATGTAAACATAACATTTTCTTATAACTATAAGATCATTTCATTGCATTAAAAATGTTAAACAGCAATATTTCTACATGATCAGAGGTACTTTCTCAAGGCTGGTACAATAGAGGGCAGAAAAATATTTGAGTACTAAAAAAATGGTTAACCTTAAACGACAGGTCCAATTGTATTATATAGAAAAATAATATTTGTATTAGCTGCTAAATACATTATTTTGTTTTCATATCTATCTATATATACATACATCAACTATATATACATACACACATATTATTTGATTATTGAAAACTTACACCATCATTTGAATGTAAACATGTTCTGAAACTAATGGAGGGAAAAATGTACAACTTTGTTTTAGTTTTCGCTTTATTTTCATTTTGCTTGATTTTTGTTATTATTATATAATTTTGCTTGATGTTTATCAAAAGATTAAGAAATACGTACAGTAGAGTCCCGATTATCCGAGTTTCCGCTTTAACCGAGCTATAAAATATTTCAAGGATTTTTTTGTTCTAGTTTATTTTTCATTTTTAAAACTACTGCCGAAAAAAAAAATCGGAATTTTATCTTCCAAACACTCAGGAAAATGAGCTGACGGACAACATGAGATTACCGATGAAATGATCGTTAATATCGTCAGTAATGAAAAAGAATCGAGCGAAGATGACGAAGAGACAGCGACGATGAAAATCAACGTATAAAAATCTCTCATATAGATCAGGGATGAGATTAGCCAAAACTAAAAAAAGCTGAATTTCGACGATAGTAAATTTTACGCAAGCGCAACCCTTTAATAACAAATTCCAGACAGTTTAAGGTAATAAATAATGTGTTGACATACAATTGTGTACTAATCTATTATTATAAAAACGATTACATTGATACTTAACATTTAGTGGAAAAAAAATTACTAATTGAAAAAATAAAGCTGGAAATTATATTTTTCCTCAGTTCACATAAGAGACAATTATTACTTGAAAAACTACCTGGTTTAGCAAATTAAAACTACTGAGAATATACATTAATATTTCATTTCTTTTAATAA